TATATATATATATATATATATTTGTTTCACAAAATAAAAATGCCACTTTGTTTGTATATACAAACGCGGATATATGTATGTTTATACTTTGCATGCTGGCGTATTTATATAAGTAGAATACTTTGTGTAACGTTTGTAATCTGTGCTCTTCATGCTTTGCTTTGAAATATTAATGAAATTACATTTCGATAAATAAGAGATTTTCGTTCCGGATTGATTTTAGTTCAATAATGTAATTACCAGCCAACAAATGTTTATCACTCTTCAATCTTGATAAAATAAAATATAACAAAAATAATAATAATATGGATGTATTAATTCCTTGAGCATGCAATTCCAAGAATTGGATGTGTTGTAAGGTAAATACTTTTTCAGCGGAGAATTTAGAAATCTTTAGAATAGAAGAAATAGAGAGGAGAACAAATATAACGGTCACTACAAAAACACACTCGGTATAGCGATCGATATATCCGTCACCTTACAAACAACATTCCGTCGGAAAATAACATTTGCAACGGACACTTTTCGTCCGTAAACGGCTGTCGCAAACCGAATCCGGTCGGGCATCCGTCGCACAAATGCGACGGCTATATAGCGTCAGACATCCGTCGGAAAATCCGACAGATGTTTTTGTCGGGAATTGCAACGACAATACGGTTGAAAAGTAGTCCGAATTACCGACGAAAAATCCATCGACTTTCCATCGTTATGACGACGGAAATTCCATCGCATTTTCGACATATTCTAGGAGGGGAGAAATTGTCGGAGATTCGTTGTAAGGTGACATAATTGCGACGGAGTCATACTAACGACAAAAGTACCGACGGAAATTTCGTAGGATTCTGACGACGGAAATATCTGTAGGACACTGACGAAGGAACAATCCGTCAACAATGCGAGGGGTAAAGATGGTATTGCCCATCGCAAGTTGCGACGAAAAGAGAGAGATTCTGTCGAATATAATTTTTCGTGAACCGACAGAATTTCCGTCGCAAAGTGGATTGTCGAAAAAAAAATAAAAATAAAAATAAAATTAAAATATTATAAAATTATATTAAAAATCAAAATTAAAATAAAACCTCATAATATTAAAAACTAGAATTAAAAATAATTTTTTTTGTATATTACAAAACAAGAATTTAACGATACAAATTGTCCAAAAAATCATCGAGATTTGTTGGCGGATCTTGAAATCTTGATGGACGGATGGATCAACATTGACAGTGAGACTTGGAGCTGCACTACAAAGAAACACGAAAAGGGTGACGCAAAAGGTGACGCAAAATTTGTGTCACTAAAAGGGTGACACAGTAGTGACGCTTTTGTGACGCAAAAAGTGACGCAAGGAAAGCGTCACCAAAGCGTCACTAAATAGTGACGTTTTGGTGACGAAAACTCCAGCGTCACCATTTGGTGACGCAGTTATGACGCAAAAATGCGTCGCCAAATAACGCGCGAAAATTTCGTCACCCTTTCGTCACCCTTGCGTCACTATTGGGTGACGAAATTGCATCATTAATGTTTACTGACGCAATTTCATCACTAAAACATTGGTGACGAAATTGCGTCATTCATAGTGACGAAATTGCGTCATAAATTTTTTTTTTCGTGACGCAATTGCGTCACTATTTGTTATTTTAGTGACGAAATTGCGTCATTCTATTTTCTTTATACCACACCACACCCTCATACACTCTTGCACCTGAAAAAAAAAACTCAAAAAATGGCGTCGAGTAATAACAATATTTATTACTCAAGAAAATGGATGTACGAAAGAGTAAATCCTTCTACGAGTAATGTATCTACGCATTACGAAGAAGGATTGACTAATTTTTTGGAGTTTGCAACAAATCAACATATTTTTCTTCAGAGAGAAAAAATATATTGTCCCTACCGAAGATGTAAAAACGAGAGGGAAGAAGTTCCAGAAGTTGTGATGAGACATCTATGGAAAAAAGGTTTTGTCTCTAACGATTACGTCTGGGTTTATCATGGTGAGACGTTTCAAATTTCTGATGAGAATATATCTGTGAGAAATACTGATGTCTATGATCAGCCAAATTCATATATTGAGATGGTTCAAGATGCATTTCCATCTCAATATAATGATCAGGTTACAGAAGATCCGGTGAATGAGGCATCGAAAAAGTTTTTCGATCTATTAGAGGCTGCAAACCAACCTATTTATGATGGTTGTAAAGAAGGGCTTTCTCAACTATCGGCTTCTGCTAGATTGATAGGGATGAAGACGAGTTATAATCTTACAGAGAACTGCATGAATGAAGTTTATCAAATGCTGAATGATTATCTTCCCCAAGGTAATAACGCTCCAGATTCGTTTTACGATATGTCTAAACTGATGGGATCGTTGGGAATGGAATCGATAAAAATCGATGTATGTCCTAACAACTGTATGATATTTTGGAAAAAATCTAACCAGTTGGACAACTGTCGATTTTGTGGAGCTGAAAGATACAAGGCGAAAAAATATGGTCAACGCAACCGTGTTCCTTACAAAAGGATGTTTTATCTACCGATCAAAGATCGTCTGCGAAGATTGTATGAATCTCATCAAATAGCTTCACATATGTGGTGGCATGCTGAACATACATTAGATCCTGAGAACATGAGTCATCCATCTGACGGTGATGTATGGAAGAATTTTAACGAGGTATATCCGAACTTTGCATCAGAACATAGAAATGTTTATCTATGTTTATGCACAGATGGATTTGCACGGTATGGTCAATCAGGCAAACAATATTCGTTGTGGCCTATTATTATGTCTCCTTATAACTTACCTCCAGATATGTGTCTGAAAAAAGAGTTCTTGTTCTTGACGGTTTTGATTCCGGGCCCGGAGCATCCGAAGAAAAGTTTTGACATTTTTCTTCACCCTTTGATCGAAGAATTACTTGAGTTGTGGCATTGTGGAATTGATGCATACAATGCCTCACAGAAAGAGAATTTCAAGTTGAAGGCTGTTTTGATGTGGACTATAAACGATTTTCCGGCTTATGGAATGTTATCGGGATGTAGTACTCATGGAAGATTGCCATGTCTGTATTACACGTGGCACATATGGTGACGCAATTGCGTCACCATTTGATGAGGGTGACGCAAATGCGTCACCAACGGCGTCTTTTTCGGTGACGATATTGCGTCACCCTGGTTGTTTTACCGAGGTTAATTACTGCGTTGAGTGACGAAATTGCGTCACCAAATTTTAAGGGTGACGCAAATGCGTCACCAACAGCGTCTTTTTTGGTGACGAAATTGCGTCACCCCTATGGGTATATATACGGCGTGACGCAATTGCGTCAATCCAGCACAACACAGCACAATCCACTTTCCTCTCCTCTACTCTCTTCGGTTAAAAGGTAATTTTTTTTATAATTTCTTTTTTAAAATTTTTAATTTATAAATTATTATATTTATAATAATTTAAGTTTTAAATAAATTGTAGATGAGTCGTTCTTTCGGAAGGGGATCACGGTTATCAGGAGAAAGATCTCAACATCAGAGATCTCCGTCAATTGATATGGCCGAATCTCAACCGTAACCACCAACGCAGGTTACAATTGATAACGTGGCTGAGGTATTAGATAATCCTGCAAGAATTTTGTTACCGAAACTGGATCCGATAAAAAATCCAGGGACAAAATGGTAATTTAAATTTTAATATTGTTATTTTAAATATTTTGTTTAAATATAAAATTTTAATTAAAATTTATTAATATTTTTTAGGTTTGGTGTTGATGTTGAGATAACCACCAATTTATCAAAATTCATCAAACAAAATTTTAAAGGTGCTTATCTTAATTGGAGTATGATCCCGCAACCTACCAAAGATTCGTGGTGGTTAAGTTTTGTGGTAAGTTTTTTATATTTATAAATACATATAAAATTGAAATTGATTTTATTATGTATTTTATTTCTTATAAAAAATTTTATATAGCAATAATGGCATTGGGATCGTGAGCATGACACATTTGTTCGACGCAAGTGGAAGGAGGCTGTAATTCATTTAGTGAAAGCCAGTGTCCACAAACTCAAACAAAAATGGCTTTCTGAACCCTATATGGATCCTCCTTATTGGGTCGAAAAAGATCATTCGGATTGAATGGTGGAGCATTGGGCTCCCCCAGCTGCCAAAGAGAAAAGTCAGCGAGCGTCTCAGAGTCGAAAAGCTGAAATGGTTCCTAATGTCGGAGGGCATGTGCATACATCGTGAGCTAAGCCTTTTAGTCATGTTATGCATGAAATGGCTAAAAAAAGTCAAGCGCCAATGTTGCTAGATCTGTTGAAAGCAACGCATACACGAAAAGATGGTGTGATGGTTGACGGAAAAGCGCAACAAATCGCGGAACAAGTTCAACATGAGGTATATTTTATAATATAAATTTTTTTTAATGTTAATATTTCATATTTAATTTTAATTGTTTCTTTAATATTTTAGATTATTGCGTCTCAACCAACACAAGACGAAGCTTCTGCATCGGAACCTAACTTGCCGAAGGAAAAAATTGATGAGATATATCTTCAGGTAATTTTTAAATATATAAACTTATAATAATTTCAATTCAATTTTAATTTAAAATAAATTATTAATTAATTATATTTTTATTACATAGATTGTTCCACCGAACAAATTTGGACGGATATACGGTCTCGGTTCAATGCAAACCGATATCACATATCATCCTGGTGAAGATGCTCCTTCAACTGCT